CCCCAAAACCCCAAAACCCCAAAACCCCAAAACCCCTTCGTATAATTTCAAGATTGAAAAGATTCTTCTCTAATATGAGCTAATTTTTAAATTTCATTGCGAAAATTGACAATATTTGATGATACTGGTGAAAAATATTTCAAAATCACGGTGTTCATATAAAAGACACTTCTGTATCTTAATTTTCTTTGAGAATCCTGTCTTAAGACCTTGATATTGGTGAAAATTTGAAGCCGATTTGTGGAAATCATAGATATCGACTTTCTCAAAAATGAAAACTCAAATTTTTCCTGAACTGTAAAGGAACAAAGAAAGATGGACTGATAAATTCTATACAAACTTAATAATTATACATATATTAATTTTCACAATTCAAAAAAGCCTTTATTATGATTCCTGGATTTTTAATAAAGTCAGATCTTTGTTCTCACCTTTCAACTTCAATTCTCATATTATTACAAACCTTTCATTAAGAGAAAACCCATAAGAAATCTTCCCCAACCTCTAAACAACAACCAAAATTATAAAATCTATAAAATCTATAAAAATCTCCACCAACCAACCACTCTTTCACCCCACACCCTCATCCCCCACCCCTATCACCCTCCCTCCAAATCCCTACCTCCAGCCCTTCCTAAACTCCCCCATCCATGCCTTCTTCCCTACTCCAGCTACACTCCAGAAGCCCACTTGAAATCTAGAGTTTGGGTATAGGCTAGAAACTATACCAAGCAAATGGAATCAAAAATCTAATCTTGGAGGTAATGGTACAAACAAATCAACTAAAATAATACTTATCTCCACTTAAATTCATCAAATAACTCCTCTTCCTACAAATATCAGCTACCTAATTTTATTCCCCATCACCTCTTTTCCAACCCCCCTCAAAACCCCTTAAAAATACATCTCTCAAACATCCCCATCTCCCCATCTCCCCACCCCCTTCACAAATTACCTAAAGAAACCCACCAACAAGCAATAAGCTCTTTCTCTAATTTACTTCCTGATTTCAGAACTTTCCTACTGAAGGAATGGGGTTAAAGCGTTTAGAGGGTCAGAGCTAGGAGATATTAAATTTATTTGCTGGTTGATAGAGGTGGGAGAGGGAGGATATTTGGTGTTAAATGTTGTTAGAAGAGTTGGATTTATGAGAAAGGGTATTCATCTTCCTCTGATCGATAGTTGTCATGATGTCATACCCCTAATTTCTGATCAAAAACAGCAAAATAGAATGATATTGTAAGAACCTCCCAAAAATTACTCGAACCTAACTTGAGAGAATTTTAGAGGAGACTAATAAGAGCATAAAAAATGAATTCAAGAGATCCAGAAGACATCTAGAACCCTGAGAGCTTACTCGAATTCAGATAATCAAAGTATTTTTATCAACTGCTAGATGGTATATAAGAAGAATAATTTAAGTTTTTTATAAAAATATTTTCAAATGGACATGAATCAAACAATAGCCTGGAGTTTTCCAACCAAATTCTTTCTCAAAAAGCTTTCTTTGAGTGATAAACAAATACAACAGGTGCGCAAATGCTTATATTTCAATTCTAACTTGTTATAGGAGCTGGATAAATATTGATGATGTACTCCTCTCTTGCATAAGTAAAGAGCTAAATCCACAATATCATGATCTTCAAAGGAAAGCAAAGAATTAAAATCAATAGTCTCAATTATTCCTTCTATATCTAAAATAGCTCCTGTGAAACAACCAGAAAGGAAGGCAAACCTTCCTAATTTCGAAGAAAATTTAACAAAGATTCTTCAATCAATTTTGAATGGAAACGAGCTAGTATTTGAAGGGAGAGATAAAACTAACAGAGGACTGCATAAAGGAAGATCCCAGAGAAGACCCAAGTACATTGGAGTGTTAACAAACAACCAAAGATGGCAGTCTCTTACCAATGTTGGCCACACAAAAAGATACATTGGTACTTTCTGAGCTGAAGAACAAGCTGCTCTTTTTCATGATTTTTATTCTATAGGAATGCATCTACAAGAATCAAAAACAAACTTTTCATACACTGCCAGTTAACTGAAGCCAATGATTGAACATTTCTTCGCAAATGGACATATTTTCGACCTAACTATTTTCATTTAACTAATTAGCAATCTATCTCTTAGACCAAGGGGTTTTGGGGTTTTGGGGTTTTGGGGTTTTGGGG